CCGATATTTTTTTCCTGGGTCCCTGACTAAAGATGCGCGTTGGCGGCTACATCGAGCAACTCGAAAAGTATATCCTCCCACATGTCGTCGCCCGTACCTTCTTGGAAACTTTGTACTGCTACAGCATTGGGTGACACCACATGGAATCAAAGGGCGTTCGGAAAACTTTTGCCTACTTGGAATAGAAGGGCGTTGAGTACATGAAGATGGTGAATATCTAAGCAGGTCACCTGACCTGAACCCCTCAATTACCTGGTTCGGGCGGAGTTCAATAGGGTGGTCTACAGTGGCGGAGAAATCAACGATCTCGCTGAACTCAGGTACCCACTCACGGTCGCGTGGCAGAATCTCTCGATGGCGCTCCTCCAGAAGGCTGTGGCGGAGTGTCATGATAGTATTTAATATGCTCTTTAATATGGTGGTAAAAATGTCCGATCAGAATCTAATAAAGTGTAACTTATAGCGCCTCGAAAGTCAATGAAGGGAAAAAGTCTTTTTTTGCCTCCCCCTGTATAGTGTACAGAGAACACAATGTCGAAGCAGCCGAACACTCCAAACCACCACCACAAACAACACACGTATCACACACACATGGCGTATCATTCACTACAAACACACAGACGGAAAGATGCACGATGGTACACAGACGTACCATAGTGCACCTTTCCATTTCTGTGCAAACTTTAAATTTTGGCGCTCCGGTTTTGTGAATATCATGGCTTAGCTGACTGTAAGGGAAGAAAGGAATCTCAATGAGAAATGCTGGAGTGAGTGAAAGTGTCATTTCGGCATTTTTTTGGCCAGCCGTACTTGAAAGACGATCGTTGAAAATGAATTGCACCTCATTATCAATCAGAGCGATGGTGGTCTCCTTCTGACTGCTGTAGCAGCCGACTTTGCGACAGACAAAGAGATGTGATAAACCTGCTATATATAATCCGCTAAGTTTGTCTGTTGTGTGTGTGTGTGTGGAATGTTTGTGTGTCTGTCTGTATGTGTGTTTGACCGGAAATTCATAACTTCCTTCAAAACAGCGATAGTGCGCTCAAATTGATAAGTGATGTAGGGGGCCGGGCAGGAACATTGTTGGTGGTTGGCAGGAAGTGATAACAGTTGATAAGATACCATAAGGAGCCTTAGAAGGAGTGGGTTGCCTAATTCATAACACATGCCAGAGCAACGACCGAACGTTGGATCCAAGAAGTAGGATAAGGGGCAGGATGGGAACACTATTGGTAGGTGGCAGGGAGTGATAACGGTTGATAAGATACCATAAGCAGCCTTAAAATGAGTGGGTTGCTTGATTCATAACACCTGCCAGAGCAACGACCGAACATTGGATCCAAGAAGTGAGATAGGGGGCAGGATGGGAACATCATCGGTGGGTAGCAGGAAGTGATAGCAGCTGATAAGATACTATAAGGAGCCTTAGAAGGAGTGGGTTACCTAATTCATGGCGCGGGCCGAAGCAACGACGAGACGTTGGTTCCAAGGAGTAAGATAGGGGGCAGGATGGGACATCATTGGTGGGTGGCAGGGAATGATAACAGCTGATAAGATACCTTGAGGAGCTTCAGAAGGGGAGGGTGAGATTAATAACAACGTCAGCCCCAGCAACAACGGGGCGTCGGTTCCAAGAAGAACGACGGGGAGAGGGCAGGATGGGAACATTAGGAAGCCACAAAATCCAATGCACGAGTTGTAGCACACTGGGGAACTTCTTCCAGTAAGCAATTCAGAGGTGGTTAGGGTACATTGTTGGTGAGATATAAGTTGTGATACAACTCATACGACCAAGGATTCAGTATCCGTTGCCACCATTACTGCTCTGCTTTGCGCTGTATATGTTGATCACCGTGGCCCTTGGAATCAATCAATGGGCAAAAGCTCAGTGTTTCTATCCTTTAGCGTTATAGTAGACCGCTAAACTTCCGAGTTTCGACAAAAAGTAAAAGCTCGAAGTTGTTCGTCAGTGGGGAATGATAAGGGCCACCAACAGGCGGATATGTGAAAACTGCTCAACGGAAGTGTTATGATGTAAGCACATTTCACTATGATTTCGATATTGACCGCTTCAACCGATAAGCCGTTCTATCGCCAACGAATGATGAGGGTTTATAGAAATCTGATAAACACAATACACGTTGGCAATCGCTCATTAAAGAGGAGAAATATGGAAATATCATGAAATGGGCCGAGTTTTGAAACATAGGAATTAGGCCAAGTGTTGGGGGTCAACACAGAAATCCTTTCATAGATCAGTACTACAGACTGAACCATTCGCGCAGTAGTGCGCGTCGGCCAAACTGGTTATATATAATAAGAATGCAGATGTGGGTCACACGTGTGGTTGATTTAGAGCAGGTACGCATCTTTGGAAGGGTACAGCTATCGCAACTTGGAAGTCCGCGGAAATGGAGTTGGAAGGTTTTCATCGCCATCTGGGACAAAAGATGGCATATCGCCATCGAGAGTTGAAAAGTGGTCCCTACCATATTTGGGAATCAAGCTAGTCGCTGCCGGTAGAATGGACCAACTTAAGGCATCATAAACGAGGCTGGGAGTGGAGTGCATGGGTTTTCTTAGCTACCAATGGCGTTACAGGGTGCTGAAGGCCAGATGTAACTGGGGCAGCTGTAGAAATCGACGCTGCTACAGCGCGAAGTGCTGCTCCTTAAAGGCAATATACTGCACAAGAGGCAGCTCTACTCTACGGTAGCGAGAGCTGGTCCTCTGGTGATAACCATGGAAGGCAAATTCGCTCTGTTGAAAGGAGGATGCTGAGAAGACCTGCTGTTAGACTCGAGTCAGAAACGAA